GCTCCTTCTAGTCAGTCTAACTCGTAAGTCATTCAGGATAATGGAGTTGCATTCCCTTCATTTATAATTCTAACACCTCATTTTTCTTCCTTATTCCACTTATTCCAGATGGATATGGCAGCACCTCTCCTGTCTAATTTCCTGAATCATTTTGATTTCCATGCTTTCTTTGTCCACATTATTTTCCTCTCCCTGTTCAATTCTGAATTCATGACTTGAATGCTGATTTTTGTTTAAATTAGTGATTCTTGTAGTTTCCCCCTGCCCAGCTCAGTTCAAATACATCTACTCATAACAAAAAAAGACTAAGTGGCTTAGACTGAAAAGAAGTATTTTGTTAGTTCTGTTAATGATGATAATAACATGATCATATTTACAGCAGTTTGTAAGAGTTTATGTAATGCTCATTGAAAAATGCTATGCTTTATTTTGATTAGTCAAGCAAAAATATCTCAAAAATATAAAATATATTTTGCTATTCATGATGATAAAAATGAACATTCTTTTACAGTAGCATATCTTCTGATCGGTCTAAAATCCTACGCTTTATTTTCACTATTCAAGTGATCAATAAGAATTCCCAACTCCTGCAAAATCTCACATTTGGCTACAACATCCATGACAACTATCTGAACACTATTGGCACTTCAGATGCCTTGCTGGACATGCTCTCCACTGGAGAAGCCAATGTTCCCAACTACAGCTGTGGAAGGAAGGACAACCTTTTGGCTCTTATTGATGGAGCTGACAGGGACATCTCCATCCAGATGTCAACATTAGCAGACACCTACAAAGTCCCACAGGTTTGTGTGTGTGCCTTTCTATCTAGTAAAAAGAGTGAATTGGTAGGATGGGTAAGCAATAAATTCAACCATATCCATTCTAGGGCATTCAAGAGTTGCTTTCCTCTGTGGCCAGTGTAGGTATATTGTCTAGTGATGGATGGGATTGATACTGGGGAGGGGAAAAGCAGCAAAGCAGCCCTATCATCTCATGACACCATCCCCATTTCTTTGGGGGCTTCTACTGCACCCTTGTGAAAGTAAGGAGAAGATCTGCGTCAAAATCAAAATCCTTATATTAAAACAACCACACATAACATCTGTGGACAGAATTTAAAACTTATATAAAATATGGCTCTTTATTTGAACAAAACAATTCAACTGAATTTGCAAATGTGGGTCTGATTTCAGAAAAAAAGGGAGTGATAAAGAAATATGATTTGCATTCTTTATTCTGATTTTTTTATTACTTCGTTTCTGTTATTGTATTTTTTATCTTCCTAATATTCTGTCTGTAATATTAGCTAATCAAGAATACAATATTCTAATACTTTTATGAGAAAAAGGTTGGATTTATTGAAAGAATGACAGCATTGTTCATTGCTTTTTCAGATCAGTTATAATAGTGTTTCAGCGGCTCTGAGTGATAAAAGTCAGTACTCATTTTTTTACCTGATGCTTCCCAAAAAAGGGTTCCATTACCCAGGAATCATCCAACTGCTCCTCCATTTCAGATGGACCTTGATTGGTCTCTTTGCTTCAGACACAGAGAATGGAGAGAATTCCATGAGGACATTGAGTCCTATGCTTGTCAGGAATGGAATTTGTGTTGTTATATCCGAACAATTTTCACCAGCTGGACATACAGGACCCCTCAGGGTTGCCATTTCCAAGTGGAGACAAGTCAATGTCTTTGTTCACATCATAGAATATTTTTCTGTTTGGGACAGAATTCATCTTTTCCATTCAACACTTACAAGTTTGCCAGAACCCATTGAAGGGAAAGTCTGGATAATTGCAGGCCTTGGGGAATTGCAAATAAAAAGACATATATTTCTGAAATATGTCCATAGTGTTTGGGCCTACAATTTCCAGTTGAAAAAAAGGCCAAAGGACAGTTCCTTTGAACCAGATCTCTTTGTGCAACCACAGTTCGGAGATCAATCTTTTCTCTGTTCTTTTTCAGAAGACATCATTTCTGTCAAAGGCCGGAGAAGATGCACTCAGAAATCTCCACTGAACACCAAAGTGGAAAGAAATTGGATCTGGTACCGATATAACCACCATATTTACACTTTGATGAATACTCTGGCCCATGCCTTGAATGCTGCATATTCCTCCATATCCAAGAGGAGAAGAAAAGAGAGAGAAGAGAAGCTGGGGACTCAAAGGCTGCAGCCTTGGCAGGTATGGGGTCCTGACAAAGATCCATCAAACCTACTTTCCTTGGATAATGAATACAAAGGAGAAAAGGAAACTATCTCAACCTTTTTGTGCTTCAAAAGGCCAACAAGTCTGACCAATCCAATCACTTGTGGATAATTTTTCGAAAGAGCGGGTACCATGACATATATATTTTGATCTTAAACAGTGTTAATTTTATAAAATATGAATGCATTTGAAATAAACTTCTATCTTTATAAATACATTTCATAGATTTGAAGGAGACCCTGAGACTTTCTAGCATAACCCCTCCTGTCTGCAGGAATCACAGTTAAAGTTTCTATAAGTGATGGCTGCTGGGTCTTTGCATTAAAATAATCAGTGAAAGGGTAACTGAACTTCTCTTGTTCACTGGATCAGCTCTAAAATTTGTCTTCCGTTTACGATGGTTTTCATCTCATTCAACCAGAATCTCCCCTCTTGTGACTGAGCTCAATTTCCATGTCCAACACTCTAGAATAACAGCAAACGTCTGTGTAACGTATTTCCAAAGCCTTTACTAAGAACTTTACTAGAACTTCATGTGATTTTGATTTGATCCCTCTATTAATGCAGCCTAGAATCTCCTTTTTTATTGATGTGCTGCCACACATTGTTGGCTCATATTATAACAGATTAAGAGAGTTGCAAGGAACCTTGTAGGTCATCTATTCAAATCCCCTGCCGAAGCAGGAGAACCTACACCATTTCTGACAAATGGCAGTTCAATCTCTTCTTGAAAGCTTCCAGTAATGAAGCTCCCACAGCTTCTGAAGGCAAGCTGTTCCATTGGTTGATTGTTCTCACTGTCAAAAAAATTATCCTTATTTCCAGGTTGACTCTCTCCTTGATCAGTTTCCGTCCATTATTCCTTGTCTGCCCTTTGGGTGCCCTGGAAAATAGTTTGATCCCTTCCTCTCTGTGGTAACTCCTCAAATATTGGAAGACTGATATCATGTCACCACTGGTCCTTCACTAGACTAGCCATGCAACCGTTCTTCATATGTTTTAGCCTCCAGTCTCCAATTCATCTTAGTTGCTCTTCTCTGCACTTTTTCTAGAGTCTCAACATCTTTTTTATAGAGTGGTGACCAAAACTGGATACAGTATTCTAGGTGTGGTCTTACTAAGGTTTTATAGAGTGGTATTAATACTTGATCATGATTGTATCTCTCTGTTAATGCAATTTAGGATTACATTGGCTTTTTTGGCTGCTGCCGCATACTGCTCGCTCATATTTAACTAGTTGTCCACTAAGACTCCAAGATCCCTCTCATCATTATTGCTATCATTTATTTACTTACTTACTTACTTACTTACTTAGTTAGTTAGTTAGTTAGTTAGTTAGTTAGTTAGTTAGTTAGTCGCATTTCTATCCCACCCAACTCCCAAGGGACTCTGTGTGGCTTACAACAAAGAATAAAACAATGCGAACAATCCCATAAAAAAAGTTAAAAGAAAAACATTAAAACATTAAAACTTTAAAAACGTTAAAACACATGCACTCCAATTCGTGGCCGGGTCTCGCAAGATCATTATAACAAGATCAACGGCACCAGGCCTGCCGGAAGAGCCAGGTCTTCACCACTTTGCTGAAGGCCAATAGGGTAGGTCTGGACCTCAGGAGGTAATTGGTTCCAGAGATCCGGGGCAGCCACAGAGAAGGCCCTCCCTCGCGGGCCCGCCAGCCAACATTGTTTAGCTGACGGGACCCGGAGGAGACCGACTCTGTGGGATCTTACCGGTCACTGGGAGCTATGTGGTAGAAGGCGGTCTCGAAGATAGACTGGCCCTGAACCATATAGGGCTTTAAAGGTAATGACCAACACCTTGTATTGCACCCGGAGACCAATAGGGAGCCAGTGCAGCTCATGGAGAATTGGTGTAATGTGGGTGTATCTAGGCGCACCCACTAAGCCTGGTTTCACCCAGTCTATATGTCTTCTTTTGGTTTTTCTTGCCTAAGACTTTACTTTTCTCTACATTGAATTTCATTTTGTTAGATAGGCCCCAGTGTTCAAGACTGTCAAGATCCTTCTGGATCTTGAGCCTATCTCCTAAGGTGTTAGCTATTCCTGCCAGTATCATCCACAAATTTGGTCAATTCTCCTTCTATCCCCTCATCTAAGTCATTTATGAAGCTATTAAAGAGTCTGGGTCCAAGACAGAACCTAGGTTACTGTTTTTTCTGCTTGGTTGGGTGGCCTGTATTATACACTGTGGCAATGTCATTCTTTTTTTCTATTATATTGAGTCATATGCATTTTAAGAGGTTTTTTTTCCTTTGATTTTGTGTATTTCTGTAGCAGTATAGTGTTCCTTTACATACAGTGCAACTCCACCTCCTCTTTTATGGGATCTGGATTTTTTGGATCAGTTTGCATCCTTCTATTACTATGTTCTAGTCATGGGTTTCATCCCATCACATTTCTGTAATGCCAACTATATCATATCAACCTTCATGTATTAATAATTCAGGTTCACTGTATTTGTTCCCCAAACTTTGTGCGTTTGTATATAGGCACTTGAGATCTTTATGTCTGAATCTGGGTATGCTTCCTATGTGTCCTATTTGGTGTTTGAGTTTGTCTTCCTTCCCATTCCTCCTGACCTCATTATTTAACTTGCTTTCTAGGGGCTTTTGCTTGGAATTAGGTCCTGGAGATCCTAAAGATTGGTCACCCTCCCCCCTCAATTTTAGTTTAAAGCCCTCCTGATAAGATGAACCAGTCATTTTCTGAAAATATTCCTCCTAGTCTTTGGGAGGTATAGCCCATCCCTTGCCAAAAACCCATCATGGAGGTAGTGCAGACCATGGTCCAGGAATCCAAAGTTTTTTTGGCCACACTAGCCCTTCAGCCATTTAAGTGATTCTCCACTAAGACTCCAAGATCTTTTTCACACTTACTGACATTAAGTCAAATTTCACATAGTCTGTACCAATACATTTGGTTTTTCTTCCCTACATGTAAAACTTTACTTTTATCTACATTCATTTTGTTAGATAGAGCTCAATGTTCAAATCTGTCAAGATCCTTTTGGATCTTGAGCTTGTCCTCTGGGTGTCGGCTATTACTGCCAACTATATGATTGACAAATGTTATTTATTTTATTTGTCAAATATATATAAGATAACAGGTAAAAGGATGAACATAATTTGAATACATGAAAAGAGTAAGTAAAAAGGAATATTAGGACAGAGATGGTAGGCACACTGGTGCACTTATGCACGCCCCTTACATACCTCTTAGGAATGGGGAGAGGTCAACAGTAGACAGTTTAAGGTTAAAGTTTTGGGGATTTGGGGAAGAAACTACAGAGTCAGGTAGTGCATTCCAGGAATTGACCACTCTGTTACTGAAGTCATGTTTTCTGCAATCAAGTTTGGAATGGTTTACTTTGAGTTTGTATCTATTATTTGCTCATGTATTGTTTTGGTTGAAGCTGAAGTAGTCATTGACAGGAAGAACATTGTGGCAGATAATTTTATGTACTACACTTAGGTCAGACTGAAGTCGCTGTAGTTCTAAGTTGTCTAATCCCAAAATTTGAAGTCTAGTGGCATAAGGTATTTTATTGCGGTTAGAGGAATGGAAGACTCTTCTCGTGAAATATCTCTGGACTCTCTCGGTTGTATTTATATCCGATATGCAATGCGGGTTCCAGACAGATGAGCTGTATTCAAGAATTGGTCTAGCAAATGTTTTGTATGCTCTAGTTAATAGTACAACATTACCAGAAAAGAAGCTATGCAAGATTGGGTTAACAACTCTTAGTGCCTTTTTGGCAATGTTGTTACAGTGGGCTCGGGGCACTTTTTTTTTTTGCTGAACCTTTCTTTTTTCCCTTTTGAGGACAGTGATAACACTTTGCAACTGAGACAGAAAGTAGCAAAAAGACTCAAATCTGAAAAAAAAAAATAATGTGGGATGGAAAAACCAAGGTTTCTGCTTTTAACATTCCTGGATATTTCTCTTCTAGTTCCATCCATTTCTGAAGAAGAATGAGTTTTGCAATCTTTCCCACATGAAACTGTACTTGGACCAAAATGGTGATGTGGCAGCAGATCTGAACATCATAAGCTTCATAGTTCTCTCCAGGGAGGATCCCATTAGAAAGCAACTGGGGAGTTTTGAAAGACAGAGACTTATTATCAATCAAGATGCTCTTTCACAGCTAAAGTTGCTCAATAAGGTGTGTGAACCATTGGTGACTTTTCTCTGTTTTTCAATGCCTTGAGACACTTTTCAAGTGGCTAAGCCTATTCATCAATACAGTGAGAATTGAATGTGGGGAATAGAACAGGGGTGAAATTCAGTAGGTCCTGACAGGTTCTGGAGAACCGGTAGCAGAAATTTTGAGTAGTTCAGAGAATCGGCAAATACCACCTCTGGCTGGCCCCAGAGTGGGGTGGGAATGGCGATTTTGCAGTATCCTTCACCTGGAGTGGGGTGGGAATGGAGATTTTGCAGTATCCTTCCCCTGCCATGCCCACCAAGCCACGCTCACCAAGTCACACCACGTCCACCAAGTCACGCCCACAGAACCGTTAGTAAAAAAAATTGAATTCCACTACTGGAATAGAACCCTTATAGTTTTCTTAAATGGCTTGGGATGCTTCAGTACAATTGGCAAGGTATCCTTCAGATGCTGTCATATAGAACATTGTTTCAAATTGATTCAGCCATGTCCTATGTGGGATGCTAGGTAATAAATCTTTAGGATGTATGGCTATTTTGTGTCCTAACATATTTCATTTGTCATTCCTTGTTTTTCTTCTTAGTCTCTGCCTCAGACCAAATGTGTGGAAAATTGTCATCCTGGATTTTTCAAGCAAGCTCGAAAAGGAGAGCCAGTTTGCTGCTATGACTGTGTTCCTTGTCCAGAGGGGACCATCTCCACTCAGGAAGGTGAGTGACACTAAAGAAAAGGCTACTAGATTCATCCAGAGCATTTTGATCCATGTGCATTTTAAAAGAGACATCTAAGGTTAACAATTTTGTGGTTCTCAATTTTCAAGGTGCCCAATTTCTTCCTAATGGGAGAAATAAGAAAAAGATTTTGAGGGATGAGGCAGGAAGAGATAGAAGACCATGGTGGATCATACAAGACAATGTGCACCAGAGGAAATTTCTATTTTTTTTGCCAGTATGGAGATGTCCTCTAAATAATGAAATACAAATAGTTACAATAGCAACAAAAAAGGGATATAGTTGTGGTTCTAATAGGAAAGCTGTATTTCCATATTGGTATTAAAAGGAAACCAATCTAAAGAGAAATCAGGGAAAAAAGAGAACCAACTAAGCAATTGTATTTATTTCATACGGTGTAGCAGAATACAGCATTAATACATAAAGTTAGCAGAAAGAGCATATAAAATGTGCATCAAACTATAAAACACCAGAGCAGTAAATTATTTTATTTATTTATTTATTTGTTTAAATTTCTATACCGCCCTTCTCCAATATAGGACTCAGGGCGGTGAACAGCCAAAGTAAAAACAAGACATACAAAATCTAAAAACTGTTTAAAATAATTAAATATTCTGGCCGTAATTAAAAAATTCCAATTTAAAATCAGTTTAAAATTTAACGCAAGCCAGCCATTTTAAAAATGCATAATAGGAATGATGGGTACAATTATGAATAAAATTAAATTATGTATGAAGAGTTTCTAGAGTGGCTAAACCTATTGCTGGATATGTGGACCATTTAGCCATTGGGCAGCAATGCCCTTGAGATGATGTATTTCAAGCAGAGATCCAGAGAACCTTCTGAGGGGGCATTCCATCATAACATGATATAAAGTTAGTGGGATGATCCCACAGTCACAGTTAGTATTGTCAACCTGCCCCTTTGGGTTTTTCAATATTGGCACCTGCCATGGTTGGTCAGTATCATCTGACATCCAAAGAAGATCTTTCTTGAAAGGTGAAAAGAAAAGAAATATTACTTTCTGTTTTCTCAGATACTGAAAAATGCACCAAGTGCCCAGATGATCAATATCCAACCAAGAGCAGAATCCAATGTATCCCAAAAAGAATAACCTTCCTCTCCTATGAAGAACATCTGGGCATCATCCTGGTGTCCATTGCCCTACTCTTGTTCCTATTCACAGGATTCATTTTAATCATATTCCTTAAATACCTAGAAACTCCCATTGTCAAAGCCAACAACCGGGACCTCTCCTACATCCTCCTGGTCTCCCTCTTGCTTTGCTTCTTGTCCTCCTTTTTCTTCATTGGACGACCAAGGAAAGCCACCTGTCTTCTCCGACAAACAGTGTTCAGCATTGTCTTCTCAATAGCTGTGTCATCTGTGTTGGCCAAAACAATCATGGTGGTGCTGGCATTCTTAGCCTCAAAACCAGGGAACAAAGTGAGAAGATGGTTGGGGAAGAGCTTGGCCAATTCCATCATCCTTTCTGGTTCTGCTGGCCAAATTTTCATCTGTGCCTTATGGCTGGGAATTTCTCCCCCATTCCCTGACTCTGACTTAAACTCACAGCATGGAGCGATCATCCTTCAATGCAATGAAGGCTCTGTCACCATGTTTTATGTTGTCCTTGGCTATATGTGTTTCCTAGCTGCCATTTGCTTCACTGTAGCTTTCCTGGCCAGGAATCTCCCTGCGGCCTTCAATGAAGCCAAGCTGATCACCTTCAGCATGCTGGTCTTCTGCAGTGTTTGGATCTCCTTCTTGCCCACCTACCTGAGCACCAAAGGAAAGTCCATGGTGATTGTTCAGGTCTTCTCCATCTTGGCCTCCAGTGCTGGACTGCTGGGCTGCATCTTCTTCCCAAAGTGCTTCATTATTATCCTGAGGCCAGATCTAAACACTAAAGAACATCTCATGATAAAAGTAGAGAAATGACAGTGAAATTGTTTCTTAGGCTTATCACATTTAATTTTTTCATTGCAGTTATTGGTGTTTTGTATTCTTCCTTTGAATCAATGTGACAATTAAGGCTATTTAAAACTGAAGGAAATAAACATATGAAGAGTATAATGTTAATGACATTAAATTCCAACATAATCATCAATTAGTAAAATAAACCAATTAGTAATAGAATTTGTCATACATCCAGGAATGAACAAGCTCAGAAATAAGACTCTCCTTCCAACAGGATTTTATCTGCTTTCCAGTTTTGTGCAAATGCAATTCTTGCCGCTGTTATTATATGAATAATCAAATATGTATCTTCTTTACTATAATTCTCTGTAAAATTCCCAATAAGAATATCTCTGCTTTTAACTCTATATGTTGCTGCAACATTCCCTCTAACCATGTTTGTATTTTCAGCCAATATGTTTTGCTTCTTTACACAATCACCACATATGATAGTATGATCCCGGCAAGTGGTGACATTTCCAACACTTAGCTGATTTATCTTTAAACATCTTAGCTAATCTTTCTGGTGGCACATGCCATCTATAAAACATCTTATACAGGTTTTCTTTATAGGCTATTGCCATTGTTAATTTATCATTTATTACTCAAAGTTGTTGCCATTTATCCAATTCTATGGTGTATCCAAAATTCTTTGCCCATGCTATCATTGTTTCTTTTACTTCTTCGTCTTCTAACTAATACACAATAAATAATTATATACTTTCTTAATCATTTTCTCATCTGTTCCTGTCAATATTTCATCCAGTTCGGATTTCCCCGAGTTAAAGCCATATTGCCTACGATCTGCTTCATATCTTGATTGTAATTGCAAATTTGTATACCAATCTATCTTGATCCCTTGACTCTCTAGTTCTTGTTTCTGTTTCAGCTCTCTCCGATCTGTCAGAATGTCTTTATATCTCACAATATTCCCCATGTTCACAATATTGGGATATGTCACTGCTTCTATTGTAGAAAGCCACATTGGAATATTCAAATAATGTTTTTCTTTCACTCTCTCCCACACTGATAACAAACCATTTCTTAGATAATGTCTTTGGAAATATCCATGTATCTTTTGTTTCCCGTACCATAAAAAGGCATGCCAACCCAATTGTAAATCATTTCATTTTTTTTTCAATTTAATTCAATTTATATGCCACCCCTCTCCGAAGACTCAGGTCGGCATTTAAAATCCTAATAAAAAACATTTTAAAATTAAAACATTAAAACTCATTCATACCATTCATGGCTGGATCTTGCAGGATCGCACGAGCAAGATCAATGGCCCCAGGCCTGCCGGAAAAGCCAGGTCTTCACCGCTTTTCAGAAGGCCAATAGGGTGGGGATGGTCCGGACCTCAGGAGGTAACTGGTTCCAGAGAGCTGGGGCAGCCACAGAAAAGGCCCTTCCCCGTGGGCCTGCCAGCCGGCATTGTTTAGCTGACGGGACCCAGAGGAGACCAACTCTGTGGGATCTTACCGGTCGCTGGGAGCTATGCGGTAGAAGGCGGTCTCAAAGATAACCTGGCCCTGAGCCATGTAGGGCTTTAAAGGCAATAACCAACACCTTGAATTGTGACCGGAGAACAATAGGGAGCCAGTGCAGCTTGCAGAGAATTGGTGTAATGTGGGTGTACCTAGGTGCACCCATGACAGCTTGCGCGGCTGCGTTCTGGACTAACTGTAGTCTCCGAACACTTTTCAAGGGTCGCCCCATGTAGAGCGCTTTGTAATAATCTAACTGTGAGGTGACAAGGGCATGAGTGACCGTGAGGAGAGCCTCCCGATCCAAGTAGGGTCTCAATTGATGCACCAGGCGAACCTGTGCAAAGGTCCCCCTAGCCACAGCTGTCAGATGTTGCTCTAATCTAAGCTGTGAGTCTAGGAGGACACCCAAATTGCGAGCCCATTCTAAGGGGGACAATTTCTCCCCCTCCCCAGAACCAAGGATGGACAGTCAACATAGTCTTTAGGAGGCAATACCCACAGCCATTCGGTCTTGTCTGGGTTAAGTCTGAGCCTGTCAATGTCAATAATATCGTATTCCTTAATAAAATCCATTCTTTAATGCATGTTAACACCACCGCTTGATAATACCTTGCCACACATATTTCCACATTATTTTCTTCAACTCTTCAAAATATTTTTTCTCCAGTTTTATTGGTATAGTTTGAAATAAAAATTTCAAGCTTCTGCCAACCTAGCAGTTCGAAAGCACGTAAAAAATGCAAGTAGAAAAATAGGGAGCACCCTTGGTGGGAAGGTAACAGCCTTCCAAGTAAATACAGACATACATCTACCATACCCAGGCCTTATTGTGAGTATGCTAAGGTCTTAAATCATGCACAGCTACTAAACATGAATAACACTTCACAACACTCAGGGACAATACCTTCAGACTTTATAAAATTAAGATTAGATGGAAGCAACTTAATGGAATGGAACCAGTGTTTACAGATTACATATTTGAAAGAGAATGTTTTATTTTTTATTGATAACCCACCAGATAAGCCTTGGACCTATGAAATAGACTGCCTCCATCACAAAGCATATTATATATTAATTGCCTCTATTTCCCCAAGTATACTTCCCAGTATAGAGCATAATTTAACTGTATTTGAAACATACCAAAAATTATTCAATTTGTTCTATAGTAAAAGTGTAGCCACAACCACAAAAATTTCTAGGGAATTCTATTCTGCCAAACTAAAACATGATACCTCCATGAGTGAACATATCTTGAATCTAAACGCAGTAAGAGCAGACCTTATCCAAAGGGGGGAAACCATTTCTGACAACACCATGAAAAGCATTATAATTAATTCATTAGATCACAGCTGGGATAATTACATTACCTTAATAGATAACCTAAGTATAGAGCAAATTACCTTAGAAAATCTTACCAATAAGCTTATTACTGAAGATAGATTTAGAAGAGAGCGATATACACAACTAAGGGAAGGTAGAAATCAAAGAAGAACTGATTTTAGAGTCAGAGATAGGTACCCACATGAATGT